AACTTTGCTTTCGATGCTATATTATCACAAATGGGAAGAGATGATAAATTTCACTCAATAGCTTTTCATTCTAGAAAATTTTCTACAGTTGAGATCAACTATAAGATCCACAATAAAAAACTTCTTGCAATCATAGATTCATTTCAAAAATGGCACCATTATGTAGAAGGAACTCCTAGTCTAGTCACTGTGAATACAGATCACAAGAACCTTGAATATTTTATGACAGTACATGTTTTGAATCATTACTAAGCCCATTGGAAAATGTCTTTATTAAGATTCAAATTCAAGATCACTTATCAACTAGAAAAAAAACAAGGTTTCTCAAATATACTCTCTAGATGATCTTACCTTGCACCAAAGGAAGGAGATGTTACTTTTAATCAGCAACAAATAATTCTCTTGAAACTAGAGCATCTTCATCTTCAAGCAATGAAATCAACACTAACTGTTGATTCAACTTTCATTAAGCAAGTTCAGTCAAGTATGTCTTCTGATGCTCTTATTCGTGATATTAAAGAAAATCCTTCAAAGTCTCATGTTACTTCCAAGTTTGAATTTAAGAAAAATCTATTATATTTTGAGGGACGCCTATATGTTCCAAAAGGTGAAGCTCAATTACGTGTTCTTCAAGCTCATCATGACTTTTCAGTAGCAAGACGTTTTGGATACAATAAAACTTTGGAACTAATATTCAGGGATTTTTGGTGGCTACAAATGTGAAAGGCAGTCAAAGTTTTTGTACAATCTTATGATGTTTGCTCAAGATCAAAAACTCCTCATCATCAACCTTACGGACTTCTTCAGCCATTACCCATTCCAAAACAACCATGGTCTTTTGTTTCTATGGATTTCATCATGGATCTTCCAATCTCAAGTTCTTATGACTCTATATTTGTGATAGTAGATTGTTTTACCAAGATGGCACATTTTGTACCATGTACAAAATCTATCACAAGTGAAGAAATAGCTAAGCTCTTTCTTGAAAATATCTATTACTATCATAGATTACCGAAGGATATTATATCAGATAAGAGAACTCAGTTTGTATTAAGATTTTAGCAGATTCTTTTCAAGATTCTAAAAGTGGATATAAAACTATCTTTGACATTCCATCCTCAAACTGATAGACAAATGGAGCATGTTCATCAAGTTTTGGAGCAGTATTTAAGATGTACCATTAACTACCAACAAGATGATTGGACAACTCTTTTGCCATTGACAAAGTTTGCTTATAATAACACAATACATTTTTATACAAAACATCACCTTTCTTTGCCAATTATGGTTATCATCCATGACTTGATACTTTTGACTTTTTAAAAGCTGATAATCCTATAACAAAAGATTTGGCAAATCATTTGTCAAAGCTACATGCAACAATGAAGATGCAGTTACAAGAAGCTCAAGAACAACAAAAAATCAATGTGGATGTCTATCGAAAGGAACAATCACAATTCTACATGGGTGATAAGATATGGTTACTTCATCGCAACATCAAGACCACTCGTCCTTGTGACAAGTTGGACTATCGAAGGCTTGGACCATTTTCTATTTCTACACTAATCAATCGAGTTGTATATCGTTTATACCTACCAGAGTCAATAAAAATCCATTCAATATTCTATGTATCTCTTCTTGAACCATATAAGATAGTGGACATACCAAGAAGAAGACAAGTTCCACCTCTTCCTATAGAAGTGGACAATAATGAAAAATTTGAAGTAGAAGAAGTCCTAGATTGAAGGCAATGCTGAAATAAATTGGAATATCTTGTCTATTGGTACGGATATGATATTAGTGAATGCACATGGGAGCTAGTAAAGAATCTTGTAAATGCAAAAAAGGTGGTAGAGGCTTTTCATCGATGATATACATTAAAATCAAGATAAAAACCTTCCTTATAAAAGAAACAAGATTTAAACAAGATAATATTTTACTTTCAATCTTTATTTGTAGCTTCTTTGTGGTTGTGCCGCTAAAGAGATGGAAAACCAACAACTAGTAGATTTGACTCAAGAGCCTTTGTTTGTTGACCTGTTGGACGAGACATTATGATTGTCACAACCTTCAAGACGACACAATCAACATGAAGATCCTCAAGAATGATATATTTTTTCTCGAATAAATGGTAAGATATTATGTGTTTGATATCATGACCTTGGAAGGGACTCCCAATGTTTGGTGATTTTATTAGAGGTAGGAACAACTCCTAATGGTGTTCCAAATATTTTATTTGAAGGAAGTTATGAAGGCCTCAACAATGATCAAATAATTGGATAGTCTTTCTACCTTGGTATGGGACACTATTGATGGTTGAGAGGCCCTATCAATCATCTTCGAAGAGAAAAAAGATTAGAGTATGTGGCAAATATAATACGATGCATCTTAGACTTCTTTGACATGTCATCACCGCTCCTCGTGGAACTCATCTCTAGAAGGGGAGATAATGTCATAGACATATATTTACTGTAATTGTTATCTAGGTGATATGAATAGGTAGAAGTAGATAAAAGTAGATTAATTTCATAATATCTTCTAGAGAAGCTTTATAACCATTGCTTTGACTTTACATGTGTTTATACTTGATTGATAGATTAGAAACTTGGTCAACAAGTTAACCACATGCCATACATATTGGTAGCTTGCAGAACAAACTAACTATGTGGCACTTACATAGAAAACTTACCTTGCAATTTAAGATACGTGTTGTGTAAAGTCAACATATTTTTGGAGGTCCTATAGAACGTTGTCATGTAGCTCTTAGGTAGATAGTATATATAGAGGCAAGAGTGAAGCCTTCTTCACTCTTGTCAACTCCTTTCTTCCTTCTTGTCTAATTTCAAGGGTCTCTAGTTTTCTTGTCTTTTGGCAATAGTCATTCTAGTTTCTTTTTTAATATACATATTTAGATATTTCTATTTTGTCATCTTTCTTTGAGAAAAGTATCACTTATTTATTTATTTTTATCAAGTTCTTGTCCTTGACAACTACCTCATTAGATAACTAAGCTTGAAAAAGTGGTTGCATCATAAGTTGATGTGCTCCAAGTCTTCCATCACTATAAAATCTTACAACAAATCTCTTAATTTCAAAAATTCTATGAGCTAAAGTATTGAATATGTTTATAATAATATCTAACTTAGACTTAACAGACTTAACCATATTAACATCTTCAGCCATCATGAAAAATAAAAAGAAAGTTTCTAAAATAATACCAATTTATAGGAGGGTACTTTATAACTTCTAAAGTACTTAAATGCCTTCAAAAAGAGAAGTAATCCACTCTCTATGAAGAAGGATTAAGTTTTAATATTGATAATTGGATAGTCTCGACAAATTGCCATGGATATATTATACAAGAGACCAAATAAGAAGTTTAACAAAAGAGTTTCATAAAAAAAGTTGATAAGAACTTGATTAAACTTGATGAGTACAAGTTCAATATTAAGAGAGATGAACTAAAACTCCAAAAGATATATTATCAAGATTAAAAATAGTCTCAACTTCAATTTGAAGCTTGTCAAGAAGTTTCTATGTTGCTTGAAAATGAAGCAATCTCAAGAAGTTCTTTGAGAAGTTTTTACATTGCTTGAAGATGAAGCAACCTTAGAAAGCTTCTTAAGAAGTTTTTATATTGCTTAAATGTAAAGCAATCCTAAAAAGCTTCTAAAAAAAATTCTTTAATTTTTTTAGAACTTTATAAAACCTATTGAAATGTTCTAAAAATCTTTTAAGAATCTTTTAAAAACTTTTAAAATATAATAGAATATTATAAATATATTTTTAGAATCTTCTTGTTGGATGTCCATAACAACAAGTATCAATATATAATAGGGAAGTTGGTATAATATTCTTTTTTTAAATCAACATTAATTACAAAAAACTAACAATTAATACAATAATCATTTTTTAACTATAATTTAAGATTACAAATATGCTCAAGTTGTCCTTCAAAAAGTTCTTCTTTAGGAGATTTGCAATGGCCATAGATCAATAAGTATTCATTGAAACAAATTTCATCCAAAAGTTTAGGTATATGTTATAGAATTTCAAGATCTAGTGACAACAAAAGACTAATAACTACACTATCTAGATAATTGTGCATAAAATATTAGTTGCTTATAATAAGAAGTCCTACTAAGACTACTATGAATTTAATTCAAAAAATTATTAATTATTATTTTATAAATTAATACTACATAAAAAAATCCATTTAGAATAAAACTCAAACTCTAATACTTCCTTCTTTATTTTTCCTTCTTATTCTTATTTCATAAATTTATTACAATTTTTGTAGCAATAATATGTATAGCAATCAATCTAGCCTTAATTAAAAGATATGTAAGTATTGAAGGGCCTCAATAATTAATAAAGACAATGAGCGTGCTTTACTTGGTCCTTATTTTCATTGAATTCTCCATGTTTATCGAGGATTCTTACCTTTAAAGTAATGTTGCCAATTCATTATTGAAACCCCATAGTGTAGCATTCTTCTTCTTTTGTATCATCAATTCCTCCACTTGTACTTGCAACCATTCTCATTTCCACCCTAAGCAACAACTCACAATTCACACCTTGTATTTTATGCATGGGACTTATTTAGAAACATAATTATTAGGACAATGTTGTTTTTTTTATATGTGATAATATTAAATGTTTTGCAATTGTTTTTTTAAAATCCGAATCAAAGTATCAAGTGCCTCACAATAAAAATGACAACAAGCAAATCAGCACGCTCAACAAACAGAGTATGATTTTATCCAACATGCTCAATTCATCAACATCACTTCGGAGTTACCAAGGTCTTTTCAAACTACGCCAAAATGAGTGCCCAGAAAGTTAACGAAAGGATGTACCTATCGGGACTGGACATGTCAGCATGGCATCGACTAATAGGGGGGAGCTGAGGTGGAGTCCGACGTGGCCTCGTAAGTCCCGCCGTGTCCCCCGTCGACTAGGGGCTTGTACAAATTCTCGTTCGCTCGCTCGCCATCTCGGCAGGCTCCTCAGCCCGATGTCTCGCGATGCGGCCGTCGATTCCTCGCACTTTTATGTTTTATGTTTTATTGCTTTTTACGGTCTGAGTGCAGCAGCGAAGTTGTTCACAATCTACGAAGTTTGATTGACGACAGCGTGCGTCGAAACGGACAGTAATTTCGCAGATTGGGCGCAGTAGTGTTGGTTTGAATATTCGCGGGGTTGGTCTTCAACCTCGTTAGCCCTCATCGACTGCATCGTCCTCCGTCTATGCAGGCAACCCACGATAGATTGCGGGCATAGAGGTTTGCAACGTAGGCACCGTGTGTGATTCTGTGAGAAGAATTGAAATTGAGTCGAGGGGATCATGGTTTTTGGCTCTCTAAAGTTTTGACGTTCTAGGGTTTGTGTGCCCCTAGAGGTTTTTCGGGTGCGGAGTGATGGCAATCGAGAGGAATTTGGAACGTGAAGCTTTCTTTGAGCGAGGGTTTGGCGTGAGAAAAATTGGGTTTAACATTTTGGTAGCGTGGGCTGAGGGATGGGTTTGAGCAGATATGGGTAATTGCGGTTGATTGTCGTAGCACCGTTTTTCACGGTGTCATCCAGCTGCTTTTATGGAAGCTTGTCTTAGTACAATGGAATTGCAGGCGTCGGCCCTGATGCCTGGGCTGGCGTGGAAGTGGATTTTGGAGAAGCTTCTGGATCTTCCGGATTTTGGAGTGGCGTTCATCAACGGTTCGTATTGCTGATAACGAATTGGGCACATTAAATTGGGTCTTCTCTGACTTTTGACGGTGGATTAATTTTGAACTGATTTTTCATCGTAATTCTTCAATCGAGATTTTGAATTGGGGTCGATTTACATTTGGAGACCTAGGAATCATGTACGAGCTTGTTGTCGCGAGTCACAGAATTTTCTGAGTGGAACATCTGTTTCTCCATGTAGATTTTTTCAATAGGAACGTTGTTGAAGATGCTATTGTTCACTTCTGCGATTTTTGTCTACTCTTACATCTGTTTCCAAATTTTTTACAGCCCGGCAGTCTTTCGATTCAGTCGTAATCTGATTGACGAGATCTCAATTTGTTCTCGCTATGGTAAAAGTTGCCATGAATTTTGTGGATGCAGAGGTGATTACTACTCATGTTACAGACATAGAAGAGCCATATTGTCGGCCTCTTCTGGAAAGGGTAGCGCTACGGAACCTGCAGGAGATGGTTTTAACGGATCAAATCGACTCCGGTGCTATTCCTCTTCTCAAGGCACTCATAATACAAGACTTTGTTCCATTAACAAAAGGCTCCTCCGTCAAGCAAAGATTCAACAAAGAACTGGTTCTTCGTGTGCAAACAGAGGTGAATAATTTTGCTTGCTCCTGGCTAATATGTAAGAGGTGAGAGCAGATATTGAAGATCATTTGTCCTCCTGGGTGATCCAAAGTCTTCCGGGTTGTGGTCTTGTGATATAGATGGAGCATCGGGCATATTTTGAGTGGATGAGTGACATATTTTCTATAAAATCTATTTAAAGCGTACGTGCTATTCATGCTTATTTCAGCTGTAAGCATAACGATGAGCACATTACTGTGTTGGACATGTTAAACATTGCCCAGATTGTTCTTTCTGTACTAAGGGAAGATGTGGCCGAGGGAGATAAAGACTGGGTATATTACGCATCGGAGCTCGAAAGAATTTTTGCAGAAGAAGCAGACCCTCGTGTCCTAGCTCGTAAAAGAGAGCTCAGTGCTCTTCTTAAGGTATGTAGTTAGATCCTCTCACAAGAACTGCGCCACATGTATCTCTTTTGAAAAATAATGATGTCAGCGTGTTCGACGGTTTTGCAGAGCTCTCCTGCCTCGCTTCGTGATGGGCCTCTTTCTTTGATTCAGAATTTGGATTTAGTGTTTGTTTGAGTATTCTAATTTTGCGATGTTAATGTTCTCTAACTGTTTGACTTGGGGCTACCAGTCAAAGGATCAAACGAATGATGTTGCAGCTTACCTGAAGAAGTATTCGCTCAAGAAATTGAAGAATGATTTGAACATGTTTATTGATGAAAGGAGAGCAACATTTAAGACAGTGTTCTTAGACCAGGTGGAATATCCTACTGCTCCTTACATTGTTCTGATGTGTTGTAAATCTCGTGGTCTGACAGTGAACTGTTAAATTTCTATGAGTATTATTTCGTATCGGTGTATTCTTTTGTATCTTTCTGATGGAGCGTTAGAATTTTTTTTGTTTTTTGCTTCCTATGCTAGTCGTTTTGTGTGAATTCATGATCATTTGGTTAGTTGGGTGCGGTTTTGTGTGTGTCTTTCTTTTCAAATTTATTTACAATCTATAGGCGCATCGTATTTTCCCATCTCGACTTCTCAGAACTTCACTTTATTAGTAGTCCTGAAAGACTAAATAGGGCCTAATGGCACTTGATTGCGCATTTGCAGTTGTCACGTGACTTTCTTGATTCCAATGGAACACCATTCCTCGAGGCGCTTGGTGACATGGAGAAGTCTGGAGAGTTAGACCCACGTGCTAAGCAAGCTCACTTGAATCCCGCCAATGTTGTGAGTTTGCAAACAAATCAGGATATAGACCTTCAACGAGTGGGACATGAATCCAGGAATGGGCATGATATGACTGAAACCGGAGGTCAGGGTATTGTGCTTGGAACTGCAGCAGTTTCTGATAAAAAATCGCCGAGGCGGATGATCCTTCCCACACGTGATAGTAGTGATGACGTTTCTCAAGAAGTGCAAAATTGTAATGTAGCGAGTAAACAATCAAAAACACCAACTTCAGTATCCCTTGCTGTTCCTTCAAAGGAGGGTATGCCTCTTTCTAGAAATTTTGGATTAGAAGTAATGAGAAGCTGCTCACCACACCTAAGTGTCAGTATTGAAGGGGAAAAAATACATCAAACAAGGAAGCCAAGCCGTACAAACAAAAATGTGACAATCTCGGGTGTGGAATCTGATGCTGATACACAGGTATCCACTACCCCTTTTGTTGGCATTTTGTACACGATGTCTACTTTGAAAATGTAATCCACGGTAATTTTATTTCGATTTACTGTGTGTATAAATTTGCTAGTCAGAATCTTTTCAGCCTGTTTGCACGAACAAGCCATTGTGCAATATATTGGATGCAAAGAAACAAAACTAAGATCGGATTCTTTGCCTTCTCTGCCCTCGCTTTTAGTATTGGCATCGGTCAAGTTCCTTGATTCATAATTGCCTTGATTTCCACATTGCCAGGTAGTTGAGAGGTTGAACATCGATGATGAAAAATGTGAAGGTGAGGGTTACCGCAAGGAAGGGGCTCAGTCTCCCTCTCATTCAGAGGTACTTTACTTACCATCTGTTAGTCTCCAGAATATTGCAATGTTACCTCTTATTTACACATGTAAGTTATAAATTTTGTCACTACGCTTCTTTTCGCAAGACTAATGATGTCCCGATATGCCTTATATTTTTTCAGAGTGGATCGGATCGGAGACATTTTCAAAAAACTGTAGCAACCCAGGTCGTGAGGAGGAAGACCACAGGTTTACCAAGTGAAAGGAGGACATTGGAGCCTGATAGAAAAAGAGCCTCCACGTGTTCACCAGAAGCTAAAATAGCCGAGCGGCGGGATAATGAGAAGTCCGTGATAAAGAACGAGTCCCTACCCCTGGATGCTGAAGAGATCTACGAGGTTGACTATCTCGACATTGGTGATGATGGTCAAGAAGAGATCTGCCACAAATGTGGCTTGGATGGGGACTTAACTTGTTGTGATAGATGCCCCATTTCAATGCACTTAAAATGTATTGAGGTTCTTGGTCTAAGGGTGCCCAAGAGTAATGAGGATTGGTGTTGTCCTATTTGTGTCGCTGTGAAGGCTTCACAAGGAGCAAGAGAGGCAGCAAAGGTGAGCATACTTATGTGTTAGCTGTGGTAACCATTCTATTGAACAAAGAATTTATATCAGTTGAATTCTACCTCGTGGATGTAGTGTACATGTGGTTGTGTGAGAAATGTAATCTTGTTGTGAATTTGATTTGAGCACGTTTATTTGAAATTTAATGAACATGGTAGTAGATTCTACATGTGATTGATGTTGGGTGTTGTCTGGACATGTTTTACCTGTGTTTGTAGATGATTTCATTATGATTATTCAAAATTCTCTTCACAGGCAGCAGCTGTGGCCAGGGAGGAGCTGAAGGCCTTCATAAAGGAGAGCTCAAAGAAGCGAAGTTTCTCCGAGGACGATGCACAATACCATAGTGGGCAGGAGAAAGCTGTCAAGCGTTCAAAATCAAGTCTTATTCCACCGCAACCAGATGATATTGATACGACTTTGAAGCTGCAGCATAATAGTGAGGAAAATCCAGAGCTCAGATATACTGACGCACAACTTGATTCAGGCCGGCGCAATGAATCTCTTTTACCTATTTTAAGGAAATCATCAAATCAATTAAAGCAACGTGGCGAAGTAGAATCTGAAAGTACAGGTCTAAATTTATCATCTGTTGGAATAGCACTACGAGTAAATCAGAAATTTTCGAATGGAAGTCCGAAATCACTGGTGAAGTACGATCCTGATAGTATCCAGAGAGGACCGGCAAAAGCTGTTCCTTTTAACGAAGACATGAAAAAAGTCCAGAGGGTACCAGATACCCCTGATCAAAACACTTCAAGGAGGCACCCAATTGCGGCCAGCACAAGTGGGCGGAAAAGGAAGAAGACAGATATCTACAGACGTGTAGCGAAAAGGAAAGTACTTGAAGATGACAGTGACGAGGCAAGTTTGCAACGGGAAGCCGGGGTCCAAGAACCTGGAAGTGGTGCTGGCGGTTGTGGAGAGGTGGATGGTGATGATTTAGAGCTGGATGAAGATTGTGTTGGGAAATCTGAGTATGTGGAGCGCAGTGGATATTTTAGGTGAGGTTACCTTGTGCCCTCTTTTTCGTGCTTTTTGTAACAATGCTATGTGGTCGAGCTCTGCAGTTCGATCAGACTGAGATGTTGCGGTACGAAGTATTATTGTGATTCATATCTCAAATCATTTTTGTCATTTTGTCCTTTTGGGCCGTAAGATAAGTTATTTTTATTGAAAGCACCTCGTTAAGAAGGTGAAGCCCTTTTTGGTATGCAAAGCTGACAGGATCCAATTAACTGCAAATTCATGTTTGCAGTGGTCGTCGGAGAATTCCTGGTCGCCGTAGGATTCCCCTACCGTGGACGAGAGCAGAGGAGGATGCTCTCAAGGTAGGCATATGCTCTCTGTTTCTCATTTGCCAGCTCAGACCTTCTGTAGAAGGTCACTAAAGGTGATGCTTAGGTCCGCAATGGCCGTCGAGTAGACTCTTGTCATAAATAATCACTCCTTATATTAGCCTGTTTACTCTGACAGAAAGTCTGGAAACAGTTTGAAATACATCGTAGCTAGTATCCTCTGGATCAAGAAAGTTTGCTGCTGGATTTCAGCCAACAATGAAACAGTGTGATGCAAGTGTTTAGCTTTGACAGCTCTCTTTCTGATTAGGTTTTCTAGCTCCTTATTACTCTTTAACTTGTCTTAGGTGGATGCATAGATACACGAGAATTTTGTAGTCTTGTGCTCTTATCGTAGGTTCCTTAAGAAATAAAAATTTCCAATGGAATACTTGTAAATTTTCGTGAACAATGAATGTAGTTTCAGGTGACCTACAGTCATTCAGTTCAGAGATTACATGAGTTTACGTCTCTAAGCCATTTTAACTATAAAGGGTAGCCCTGGTTTCATCAGGTTTATCTCTGTTGATTCTGTGCTGTGTATTAGAGTTCTGCACAGCTAAGTATTACTCTAATTTGAATTTTTTGTGAGGACCAACTGACAGTGGAGGTTGGATTTTGTAGGAAGGTGTGCGGCTGTATTCATATAATGGAGCATGGGGTTTCCAGTGGAAAAGGATTCTGGAGTTTGGGGAGGGCAGATTTGATCCTAGTCGAACCGATGTTGATCTGAAGGACAAATGGCGAAACTTGGTTAAAGGTGTTTCATAACCGTAATCCTGTGGTTTACCTGGCAATTTTCGATTAGGCTTAGTTCCATAGACTCAAATGAATGCTGGGCAGTCAGAGAATTTACATAACAGATAAAATGTAACATCTGAGCACTATTCGTGTAGAGATGCACGGTTCAACTGGCTATTGTTGACTAGGTTTCGATAGCGTAGTTTCAATGCATGTACTATAGACGTTGTTTTTCTGTACACTGATTTGATTCATTCAGGCAGCTCTTGTGCATTTTAGGAGTTTGAATTTGGCACTTTGGTATGATCTGGTATTGGGATTATGCAAGATATTGCAATGCATCATGATTTAGGTATTTTTTTGTTCGTGTAAATTTTATCTGAGTTAGTGATTTGTCACATTGGAAAAAAAACGTTCACTCACAAATAACTTCAACGTTAAAATGCTATCTTTTGTATAATTTGTAAACTTTTCACTGTTTGAACCTTTTACTTTTAATAATGCTTCAAGTTGTATATACTATACACAATTGGTATAGCTTTCAATTAAAATTGTCTTGACATTAATTTTTACTTCAATTTTTTATATATTATGTTCTCGTTTATTTGCAAACATTTATTTATTTTGTGAGGATGTTTAATGATGTACCTTTGTATTTCAACAAAAACTTTTCAGTAATAATATTTCAAATTTAATTGTTTTAAGTTTACTATTTCTGTTTTCTTTTTGATAATTTATTTGAAGATTGAGTTTATTTTTTTAGTGGTTAAATTCTATATAGTTTGAATCAAAAGAGTGAATCTATTTGTTTGAAAATATTAATAATTACTTTTTTAGAAATTTAATATTTATAACTTAAAATATATTTTTTTTTTATTGTGTTTGTGATGATTATAACTTCATTTAATTTTTAGAATGGTTTAAGCATCAACATGCCTTTTCCAAAAATAATTGAAATAATTGTTACATTTTTGACATAAATATTTCTTGAAATTTTAGATTATTAACTAATAATAACATTATTTATAATCGAAAATTAGAAATAATTTAATTATATTTAATATAATAAAATATTATCAAAATATGGAGAGGTCCATTAGTGCTGTACACTAGATTGGCAAGTATACAAAAAATTACAATCAGGTGCTTTGGAAGGGGGGGATGGGGGGGGGGGGAACAAAAAAAAAAAAAAAAGAAAAAAAAAAGAAAAAGAAGAGGATAACAATAACACTCTCCAATTCCTCCTTGTCTGGAGCAAATTTAAATACCTCAACTCATGGAATTTAAACCATTTCCTGGTTGACAACTTGCTCCAAACTTCAGCAGTCTGCAAAAATCAAAACTGGTATTACTACTTCATTAATGACCTAAAAGCCACACATCACAAATTATGGGCTTTTCTAGAGCCTTGCAGCTATAACTAAACAAAAAACACTACAGAAAACAAAAAACAAAAACAAAATTAAGAAATGTAGATGAGCACAGTGAATCCACTTCGAATCCTTACATCAACAGTCTAGCCACCTCCCCTGTTGTTGCGTTTCTGGCTGTCCTTTTTCTTATAATCCCAAGGCGTCTCAATATGTGCAGCGGCCCATAAGCCAACACGAGCAGCTCTGGCAGCTGCTTCCCACTTCTCAATCCACAACCCACGTCTTAGTGAGAAAAACTTTTTGATTTCAATGAGTTACTGTGAAGGGGAGAACTTCATCGATAACGAGAGTTCTAACAGCGTGAGGTCTGAGATTAAGAAGAGCTAGCTCTTCAGGTTTGTAAGGTAACTCATACCTTCGCAAAATTTGGGCGACAATCAAAAACTCTATGATGATGTGCAGCTCCCTTCTTGAGGAGTTCCTCCTGGTAGAACCCCATTCAAAAAACACATGAGAAATTCTGAGAATTATTACAATACAGAGGTTACTTCAACATATAGGACCAGCATTCTTGGTAGAGTATTTTCTTAACTCCAAATTCTTTTTGGTGAAAATTTCAGCAGAAGTTTGAAATCGGTATGAGACATACATGAACATTAAAAGAAGAGCAGCAATGTACTGTACCTGAACGAAAATGCCAGTGTCGCAAACATAAGCATCTCCAACTTCTCTATCGTATATGTCTTTGTAGTACACTTGGATAGAGAGCTTACAATCTTGCACAATCTCAGCAAGGATTTGTTTCGCTTCATCACCAAAGGGTTGTCCGAGTTCTGGGGCATCCACACCCCTGTTGAAGATGAACAAGAAATTAATGTCGATAAATGAGTATTGAGCTCTTACGACAAATACATAACAGTTGCTTAAAAGACAATTGATAAGATTGAAGGAGTTCTTACTTCAAGCGGATCCGGTATACGCGTACCAACTTGTGACCGTTAATTACCCTGAGAACACCAAAATTCATCAATTAGCTCAAATGGCTGAAAAAGAATAGTCGAGGCACTTGAAGTGACATGCATAACCTTCACTTATTTTAAGAGGTAAGGATTATAAACTTGTATCCCGATCTCCTCATGCTGTTGTTCATTTCATTCACAGTTGCGGTGTCGTGCCGGGCGAGGGCATCCCGCCTCTTCTTCACGTTATCCTTTATCTCCTCTGGTAATTGATACTTCTCTCTTGAATCCTTATCAACTTCCACAAATGCAGTGAATCCGTCTCCGTCTCCGACACAGTTTTTCTTAATCTACAGTAAGAAATCATATACTAAGTTAGAGTACACCAAAAGACTGATGGCCAGTAGAACAAAACAAAACAAAACAAAAAAACAAAAACAGATCAAAGATGATTTCTACATAAGACACACACAAACAAGGTGTTTATCCAGGGTTCAAATGTATCCAAACCACTCAATAAACTGAAGCATGATCATACTTGTAAAGCATGGAGAGATGTGTTCTTGGTTCTTACAGCAGAGCTTGACATTATAATCGAATTCATTAGAAGCTATAAAATGTTCAGTAGATGCTCACAGGCATGGTGACAATGACGTATTCTACGTCAGGTTCGACTGTAGGATATTTAGTCCCTCGAGGCCGTTCTGGCTTTTGAGACACTTGCGGCTTTCTAGATGGTTGTGGCTCTTGTTTCACATGCGGCTTTTTGGGTACTTGTGGCTCTTGTTTCACATGCGGCTTTTTAGGTACTTGCGGCTCTTGAGGCACTTGAGGCACTTGAGGCTTTTTTGGTTCTGGAGGCAAATTGTTGAGATGATAAAACTGCAGTAAACTCTGCACATCATCGAAAGTAGGGAAGGAGGGAAGGGAATTTACTCTGGTATCATACACAAAAATCTTGAGACTATTTGAAGATCAAAAGAAGAAGAATGTTAAACAACAAAACCTTCAACGCGGAACAACAGTAGCATTCGACAAGCAGGATGCAGCAGCAGTACCTGGAGCTCATAGCCGTGGATGCGACCTTCAAGCGTCCGTATAATCAGAACTCTAACCTGTCCCGCAGTTGCTGGAATTGGTCTTGTGGTGTCCCAAGCATCCAAAAGCATTTGATACCTGATCAAAAGAACGAACACAAATCTTTGGTCTCCATTCAAAGAGCTCCCTCTGTCCTACGCGTAGACAGATACACAACAATTTAAAAATCAAATGGAGAGGTGCTTCAATCTCACCAGTTGGTTTGATGGCGTTTGGACACAGAGACCCAGTTGCTCAATTCAGGAGGCAACTGTACATAACAAGCAGCAAGACAATATCAGTTTGTTTGCATGTGTCTGCGCACACTTAAGAGGGGGGCAGCGTGCATGTGAACAACATTCAATGCGTCATCCTTACACCAAGAGAAATCGCCGAAGAAGCAATACCTTCTTTGTGGTTTTGAATTCTTGTAAATCTCGAGTAAACGCACTATACCCATCCAAGGTAACCACGATCGGGCGGTGCGGCGGTTCCTCAAAAGATCCATAGGAACCTTGATAACCTTGATAGGTTGTGTTCTCGGAGTCCGAATCATCTCCAGCACACACCCGGAGACAATTCCCCATAGCTACCCAATTGGGTTATGGGAACCCAAAGAAGGCAGGCCCAACTCAATGGCCTTCTCACACACCCGGGTCCTTCACACTAGGGGAGCAACAACACTTCAATCCTCGCAGCCACGCACATTTCCAGCGCTACGGCGCCACAAGCGCTCAACCTCGTCCAAACTGACGAAAGATTCCCTGTCTGCTCGCGCAAACCCACCAGCTTCAGCGCATCAACACGATCCCGGCAACAGCGCATTCCGAGGGATAATATATATATCCACAGAGGAACCCAACAATCGCCGCTTCCTGCCCCGATCACCCCGCCAGCAGCTCCCAGCTCAACGAATGCATCCACATCCACGACCTCGAGATACCCCTCGTTTGTCTGTAAATGAGCTCCCGGAGCTCATCGCAAGCACTGTGAACCGCGCTTACTGTGAAGCTTCAACAACACACCCATCCGTGCACTGGGATTCTCCACCTCCGACACCCACCGAAATCGTATATTATACACCTAGTATACATATAAACATACAGATGTACGTAGATAGTTAAATAGGGGAATGATGAAACGACCCAAATTTTTACTAAATCCACTCATGTTTAAACCATCATTCTACCCTTTCAACCTGTCTCCATTCCCAACTTTCCAGCCGTTTCCCTGTCCTTAACAATGGTTGGGAACAGGGAACGACTGGGAACAGAGATGAGACTGCAAGAGTGCAATGGTAATTTAGAGTGGGACCCTATAGAAAATGTTTGGGTCGCTTTATTTATTTATATATATATTTATGTGTATAAATTCTCCTGTATATATATATATATATATATATATAACTGCGTCGGGGGTTGCAGTACAGGGCCGTGCCAACGCAGCAGCCATGCTGTTGATAAATTCTCTTACGAAATGGGGTCCTGGTGATCCTGACGCAGTGCAAATTCGGTGATCCTAGTGCAGCTAGATCGCATGTGTGTCGCCCTCCGATAGATTGATTCCCTGCTTGGCTCGCGACTGCGAGGCTCCACTCATTCTGGTTGTACCCCTCCTCCAATTTAGCGGGCCCCGCTACATTCCCCGCTACATTTCCCGCTACTTTGAGCTTGACTTGTTCGTGGGCAACCTCGATTTGGGGTTCAGTGGTATTGTTTGGGCTTGTGAAGGGTTTGGAAATGGTTTGTGGGTTCGACTGAGTTGGAATAGAAGTTTGGGATTATTGCTTTGTAATTGGCAAAGGGTTTTTGTTTGAATGGGGGGTTTTGGTTGTTGTAGACGTGAGGGTGAATTTGGAGCATAACTTCACCATATGTCTTGTTGAATTCATGTTATGACATTCTTTTTATAGAATTCATATAATTTGGTTTTATTTAAATGCTAAAATATATTATTGTCAAAAATCAACTACATACTGAAAAAATTAAACACTTTACATTAATAAATTTTTCATTCTTTAGCATGCTTAAGACATGTAAGATGGCTCATGTTATAAATAAAAATATATCTTGTTTTTATTAATGGATTATTAATTTGGTATCATAATAGTTGATGAAGAAATTACATTTTTTAATAAAAATTCAAGTACTATGTATCTTCTTTTTATTTGTTTATTTTTTTTTGTTTGTTTGTTTGTTTTTTGTAAACTTAGACACGGTACATATCCAACATCATAAAATGAAAACAAGCAGTCTTAATCTACAATTCTATGAAAATCCACTGTTATCTTATGAGATCTTTAAATATAATCTTTTAGGTCTAATTTCTTCAATCTAATTCTAGACAGAATATTTAAAGTTTCTAAGATGTCTATGTTTGGTAATGAAGTGATTGTACAAGAAAACTAGATATATCTACATATAGTAAAATAGTTTATTTGTATTACTTTAATAAGTTTCTCACCTTCAAAGAACCATAAGTGTTATTTAAGAGACAAACCTCTAATTGTGGAGTCCATTGAACTTGAAGGATGATTAAAACAACAAAATAACATTATAATTGTTGTTTAATGCAACAACTTAAGGTCCTAAAAAAATCAAACTATAAGAGCAATTAGTCCAAGGGACCACTGAATTGCATATTATTTTGTGACAAGCACAATTGTGTTAACTTGGTCAAGATTTATGATCACTCCTGGCAAGTGTTCACCACAAATATTGAAAGCTAGATACATCTGAGAGAAAATATTCTAGTGATTTATTCACTGTGCTCAGCAGTTCCACTACATTGTACTAATAGAGTTTTGACCCATTCACCATTTTTTGCATAGAAATTTGAGCCATTGCTCATTAAAGTAGAATGGGATTCTCAAAGGGACACATCACCTTCACATGCATGGAAACAACATTAATCTAATGACACAGTTTAAGACCATTGAGATTGGAATAAAATGGAGCTAAAAAATTGTAACATAAATGTTCAAGGTAGCGGACCCATTCTCAACCACCCCCCATATTCTACTTACACGGTGGTGTATTTCTGATCAACTTGAAATGATAATATTGATCAGTTCTGACACCTTATGGTTTCACATTACTTTAATTCACATTTTGCCTCAACTCCATGGTACCATTGGATAAGAAATTAAGAATTTCATACCAATTCAGAAAACTTGTTGGGAAATCAAGTATTCTCAATTTTGTAACCATCGATTGGTTAGAATTAGGTTGGCCTCTATGTTGGCTTTGGGTTGAAGAGAATCTTCAGCTAAAATATTGATAAAAATCCCATTTTTGGGCAAATTGTGTGAAAATACCTAGAATCCTGCTGATTTCTATTTCTCCACACTAACATATATATATATATATATATATATATATACATATATAGCAAATGTGCTAAAATGCTTACGTTATTGGAAATGGGTTGGCTACCTTACTCTTTTTTCCAAAGGATCCAAAGGACACATATTTGAGAAAATAGTATGATGCAGGAGGCATCTTTGGTGATTGTGTGCGTTTTGCATTTATGGGGTTGTAGAGCTAATTTTTGATCTTGAAAATGAAGAAAGTGAAATTTAATTTGATGTCATGGTGCTGAACAGTACTAGATTGAAAACTCTAGGTTTAATTTTAGGGTTTTTTGGTCACTGTGAGAGTGATTGTTGTTGTTGTGGGGTGGAGGGAGAACTCAAATGAAGCAATTTCAACTTTGAATTGAGCAAGTCTATGAAGCGGACTTCAGCTGAATGGTTCACATAATGTCAATTTGTGTGACTTTCCTTTGTTGTATATGAAATGACTTACAAAAAGATGATGTATTGATTGAAATAGTAGAGGTTGGTGAAAGAGAATATGATAAACATGCTGCCAATGATTGAGTGAAATTCTAAGTATATTTAGTATTATTTGCATTGTCTAGTCTTTGTTTTGGTATAGAATAGTATAACCTAATCTTTGGTATACAATAGTGTCAAAATTCTGTAACTCCTTAAAAGTACATTTATTAATATAAACTGAATTCTGTAATTTCTTGAAGTGTAATACTGTAAGTGTTAAAATTCTGTAATACATGTTAAAGTGCTGTAATTGATTCTATAAATAAGATGAAAGTGGCACAAGATATGGTGCTCTTATTCTGCCTTTGATGTTAACCACCACTCAACTGAATATATTTCTAGAGCCTCTTTAATTTCAAAGAAAAATAAAATAAAAGCAAAACATGTTTTGATCTTATTTAAGATATGCTAGTTAAAAATTATACCATTAATATTACTAACTGTTAACAAACCTTGAGTAGTAGCTATACATCACATAAATAGTAAAAAATATTGATTGCAAGTTATAAGTCTTTGGATGCCCATGACCAACAGCATTTTATCTACAATACTAACTAAGAATTAGTTGTTACCAGGATGTTGTAAATTTTAGTAAACTTCAAAATATTTTTTTCCACTACACAGTTATTATTTCTTGTAATTAAGAAATAAATATATTCTTTATCACTGATCCTTTTTATTTTATTTTCTTCAATTTTATGTTTTTCCACAATTTTCTCTTGTTTCCAATAATGCATCTACACTAAAAAAATATCAAGTTTATATATATATATATATATATATATATACACACATATACATACATACATTCTTGAGTGTATTTCAAAAACATGTTTTCTTCTTCTTTTAATTCTCATAGAAAAATCTTTATAAGTTCATTGAACTTAGATACTTGATAAAGATTGAATATCTTGAATTAAATTTATATTACTAATAATGATATGATATTCTTATTATAGTCCTATTAACATAGAAGAAGAACTTTATAACATTTTTTTGGTTGTCAATTGCAATCCCTGGTTATCACAGCTTATACTTATAGATTGTTCTTTATTATTAAACAATAATGATAATATTAATAGCATTTTTTTTTTTTTTTTACTGTGATGTGATAAAAAAAATTATGAATGTATAGGTAATGTAAAAACTTTGATGTAGTAAAATAATGTAGAAGAATTAATTAAATTCAATTTCATAACCTTGATAAAGGAATAAATGTATTCTTCAAAAACACAAATTGGTATATAGTAAAATTTAAAAAAATGTTAGAGAATTAATAGAGTATTTATCAACTTTGTAAAATGTATTTAAACAAATCAACAAATAAACCAAGCTCAATATTGACAATGGAATATATATATATATATATATATATATAATTTTAATGAAACAAATGTATGTAGGAATTACAGTTTTGCAAATTTACAGAATAGAATACTTGTACACTTGTAGTATTCTTAGCATCCCTAAAGCATAATTATTGTAAAACTGTTAAACTTTAAAATAATAGTACTTTCAATTGACTCATATATATATATATATATATATATGTGTGTGTGTGTGTGTGTGTGTATTTATGTATTGGCATCTTTGCAATATCTATATAACAATAAAGTACTAGTTTGTAGTTTTATACTTAATAGACAAAGTAAGACATAATCTTTAAAAGTTCTAAAAGATATTGGAGCATTAATGGATAGTCTTTATAAGGACAATAATATATTTTAATTTTTTTCTAAAACTTCGAGTTACAAGATAAGAGCAAAAAGAGTTTCCAAAGACTCTATAAATCTCATATAGGATTGGTACTTTTTTTTTTTCTATAAGTAATAAAGAGAGCTAAAAAAAAAAATTAGAAGGTGATGTGACTAATAATCAGGATTTGTTGCCATTAAATATCATATAAATGTAATTTGATTAGATGACCATACTACATGAAAGGATTTTATGATCTAATAACCAATGAGTGTTGCAAATAAGAAAACATTCTTGTCTTTCCTTTCTCATACTATAAATGCCTTTAATAACAATACATTCATTTTTTAATATGATATCTGAAATTTTATAAAAATTGAGCGTCATTCAAACAAGAATACAGAAAATATAATAAAAATATGACTATATCAACTTATTCAATAATTCAATAGTTATAAATATTAATTGCTAATTTTTAAACCTTAATCAAGTGTTTGAAAAACATGGATTCGTTATTTGAATTCATCTTGTAAAGAATAGATAAACAGTTACTTTTATATACAAGTTTAACAAAGATTCTTCTTGCCTTGTGATGGTATGGGCAACTGATACTCTGATTGAGTTGACGATGCACAAGACCTCATTATTTGGAAAATACTGAACCGTAAACAATAATCAGATCTAAAAATTGTCTTATCTTCTTAAATTTGGGCATTCGCTTGGAATAGAATGCTTGAAACATGTGCCCAAGTACAGCCTTGGGCAGGTAGGTGTGGACATCACACTCACTAATCGCGATTACGGTGTGCGTGGTAAAGGGCTCATCAAAATGTTTCTGCAGAAGTGAAACAGTGAATTCTGGAAGGTGCGTGAAATTAACAATTATGTTTGAGAAACCCCTCAGCAAATATGCCTTCACTTGATCCGAATATCGCTTGGTTGCTTATCACTACAGTCATCGTAATTGTTTGACCCCAAAAATCCTCTCCAAATTTGGAGTAACATCCTTTCAACTGCACATCACTAACCTGTTTGAAATAAGCATTTACCCCGATTCTAACCAAAATACGCAAGACTATCAGGTAGAGCAAGAAACCTCTTAATCAACATCTTCATTCTGCAGCCTATCAATGTACATGTCATAATACTTCGCGGCCGACTCCATTTCACCAATTTCGGAATAGCAATCACCGATGGCTCCATAGGCTTCGGTATTTCCTGAAAATTCATTGGTCTTGTCGGATATCGATAGAACCAGCTGATGAAACTTAATTGCATCCCTGTACTTCTTCTGCCGCTGGCATGCAGCCCCTGTTACACAACTCAACATCAGCATGTGGAATCTACATGCGCATCTTCCATGTAATTGAGATGAAATTCACCCTCATGAATCATCTGTTATACCGAACTTACCTAGCCCTCGTGCGGCTTTCTTCTCTTCCACAGTGTCTCTGTACTTCCTGGCCAGTTGAAGGGCCTTTTCAAACTCAAGAAATGCTCCAGCAGGATTCTGTTCACGCAGCAATCGTTTTCCAGATCTCAAAAACTGCAGCAACTCCTCCTTTCCTAGGTCTACAGGTTCTGCTGTTGCAACACTAGAGCGACCTGCGACAGGTGCATATTTCAAACTAGGTGCATATGACTCTACTCGCGCCTGTCTCCTTAGATTTAGATTGATCTGCCGGAGTTGAGTGTTGATGTTATACAACTCGTCTCTTCTTTGTCGCGCAATTACACCTGCATGAGCAATCCCTTCTAAATTTAGCAGAAGATACGAAAACCTGACGGCTCGTCGATTCCCAAAGAAAAATCGACTAATACTGCAGTTTATATGAATGACATAAATCATTCCATAAATACCATGGCAATCATTCGATAAAAAAACACTAGAACCGCTTACAGCGACATATTGGTACACTAAAGCATAGAGGCACCACTAATATCAGCAGGCTCTCGTCGAAAGAGCGCTGCCTCAAACTAGCAAGGTAGTCACAGATGTTCTAACAAAGAATTTTGAATCTCTACGGCTCTGACCTGCAACGACTGCTCCAGTCAACGCAACGGCTTCAGCAATGCACAAAACGGTAATAAGATTGTTCACATTGCCCCCGGCAGCGTCGACAAGCAAATCTGGTAGAGATTCAGCCCTTGCACTGCACTCCAGCAGGAGGTTCCCTGCAAGAAATGCTAAACCTACTTTCGCAGGCCGATAATGCCATCTTCTCTGCAGATATGAAGTTCAACTCAATCGTAATTCAAGACAATGTAAGGAAAGAATGAATTCAAAGTGACCTTCACGTGTAAATTCCAAATTAATGTGATCGTGTCAGTGGATGCGAAAATTGATTTAATGAAACATCTACAAGTGCAGCAAAAAATTGGGGTTTGAGAGTCAATGCTGTACTACCAAACACAGAGAACCAAAAGATGACATACTTCGGAATGTTCAACGGAAGCAGCTGTAGCTGGTCTATGAGAACAACACGGCACGCGCCTTATGGCATTGCGATCCACAATACGCAAGCTCGTACGCACGCCAAAACATTCACTGCTCCCCGATGAAAGCCCTGCAAAGCTCCCTGTACTCCTACTTCTACTACTAGAAACCTCACCTAATTGAGAGCAGCAAGACGTCAAAGACGTCCACTCAAAACCGCAGGTCGTCGCCATAGCTGCAACCAGTAGACACTAACAATGCTAACACATAGAAGACAATCTTCGGAGTAATTCAACAGACAATAACGCTTTTTCCAACGCCGCTCGCAGTGCCGCTAAAACCTAAAATCTACACACTGTGAAGCTCAGTTCACAGACGACGGCACTGGATGTAGAATCATTCCAATGTAGTGCGAACAAGCCAGAAACACTAGTTATGGCCACAAGGAGATATTGAGCTTGCAACCACCATAGCCACATCCAACGATGCAGCGAAGTAGACTTGAGCACATCGCCTCATCTCCTCAACATCTTCCACCAAATCAACAAAATTTGTTAATACTCCACACCATCTACGAAAATCTAATGAAAAGTATTGATTTACGCGGAAGGATGAGAAAATATTGATGAAAAAACCAAGTGGGCTTATCCAATCAGGATGCGCACCATTCACGGTTCCCCACGGGATGTCGCGAGGTTTGCCTTCCGCACCCGCAATGCTAAAGCCAGAGTGGAACTGCTGACTCGGAAGTGGAGTCGCCACGTGGGATTCGCCTGGGATTGTCGTAGTTCCATGTATCTCGCACGGTATACGGTAACCCTCGGTCATGGATTGATACGCCCGGCGATAGGTGACGCAGCCACTTTCCGTGCCGTCCCGAAGAGTGGCTGGCTGTGTGGGAGAGAAGTTTGTGGTACGTGAAATTTGTTGTTTCTGCACAGAATTGTCAGTGAATGATCGATTTGTTTGTTAGTAGGAAGCCCATCGTATTCATTCAGTTCAAAAGCCTCATCATTCTCATCACTCTGTAATTTTCAGGGCAGAATTTGGACCAGAACCAGATTGAATCTGCCCAAAAATGGTGTTCTCGTAAATGGACTTAAGTTGGTCCAAGTTTTGCGAGTGCAAAACAGTGAACCATGTGGATGTTCAATGTAGTAGCTATTTTTCCATGTAGTAGTGTCCTTTCATGTCGAGAATGAATTGCTGGTTTTGTAGAGGAGGTATTGAGAAACCTCATCGATCTTTGACATGTTCTAGATTTTTGGTGAGGATGAATATTTGGTCCTGAGAGCAGTGGTGCACGGAGATTTGAATGCACCACCGGACTGTTGTTGCTGTAGAGCTAGCTGTTAGCAGAATGAGATGTCCAAGACTGTGATGAAAAATGCGGACCGTATACGGTTGAAATCGTGTTGAAATTTCACGCAGGTCGGATGCTATACGTTGCCATGGCATGTCCATTTTAATTGTCTGTGAATACTACTCCACGGGCGACGTTGCAGAAAGGCAGGCATGCTGAAATTTACTGCAGTCCATCACGCCACGCCCAATGTATCTGTACAGAAGTTGTAGAAATTAGAGCGTTTCAAATTTCAATGGACTTCACCCGATCTTTGTGAGGTAAAGCTTTTGGTAAAGTTCTGCTGAATGCTTGTAGTATCATACCAGTCAATAACATTAGGATTTGGAATTCGATCTGCAAAACAGATTTCCGAAGACTGAGCAACTGGTAGTCTCGCTCTGTGCTGAGAATTTTTGTGCTCCATCTTACGAGAAGAAACTATGCCAATATTCACTGGATTATGGAATTATACGCGTCTGCTGTCGCAGGATTTGTTGTTGATCGGTGTGAAGTGCAGCAGCCATGTCTTGATAAGTGAACGGGATGAATGCATTTTAGCCCTGAGAGTACTGCTACAAATGAGATGGATCGATTGCCAACTCAGCATATTACTGGACCTGCTTTCTGCTGAATTGGGCACGTCACATATCCACGACGCTTGTCTATTGCTTGCGAGTTTCTAAAAATTGCATGGGCCTCAATCCCTATTTCTCTCTATTGTCCAATTCCGCACAACCCTCAAAACAAGAATTGGTGTTCTTGGTTGTCAGGAGCACTTTCAGGCTTTACCGCACTCATTGAACTCCCGGATTGTATATTATCGTGTTGGGGTTTTCATTCTTGGTGGAAAAAATTGCGGCAACGTCGATGTGATGCATTATCGTGACTTGAGAAGGGGGCTTCATTGTGTGGCCGGTGGAATTTTTTTTGAGTCCGGTTTCTTAGTTTGTTTTATCGCTTAAGTGTGTTGGAGCGGCGTACTGATTTCGCGCAATGACAAGGTACAAAGCATGCTGCGTTTGTTTTTGGTACAGCTGAGGGCTTGTGATTGCAAAAGTTTTTTGATTAGGGATTGTGATGAATTATGTGCTGGCTTGCATTGTTGAGAGGCAGAGGAGGCAAGGTGAGGATTGCTTCCGATCCTAATGTATTTCTAGTTGTGGGGGACGCTGGAAGGGGGGAAGCTGAGTTTGTAATGCATATCGAGTAATGCTACAGTTACTAAAACTCAGCCACAAACTGTGTTGTGCTATGCTGAATTCTTGATTTTCAGTGACGCTTGGCAAGCGCAGGTTTTACTCTATTAGTAATTTGCATCATCGGAGTGAATTAACGGTGACGGAAAAGTATTGTTGAATCGGTGTTCTTTAGAGGAAAAAATATCCTTCCAAGTAACGAGCATTCATGTCTTTCTATGAACCTCTGTTCTGCAGATTTCTTTGTTAGCAGCCATATTGCCATCCTAACCAGTGATAGTATGGTGGTGTCCGTTGTACATGAATGGAATTTGAAGCCCCAATTCTGCGTTCTTGACATTGTGTGTTCCTTCGATGGTTTTTTTGCAGGTCTCGCGTGAAGCGGAAAGCGGTGGCAGAACTAGGAGTACTAAAAGCTCAAGCTGAAAGCGATGGAGGGCCGTCCTCTTCAGGACCAGTGACACCGAAGAGAGCACGCAAGTTGGAAGCAGAACCTCCAGAGAAAAGATTGTCACGTTTCGTTAGGAAACCTTCGATGGCTGTCAAGGAGCGCATTCAACGAGCCTACAATCACCGATTATATCTTATTGATAAAAAGATGATGGATTCCGAAGAGAGCTTACTGACTGGATGTGAATTTTTTGTCCTCGGTGCAACAGGAAATGTTTACTCAGTAAAACTAGAAAAGTTGCCATCTTGTACTTGTCCAGATGCGAGGAGAGGTAATATCTGCAAGCATTTCTTGTTTGTAATGTTACGTGTTCTCAAGCTGCCAGAGTCAGATACAAGAGTATGGCAAAAAGCATTGCTGCAGACTGAGCTCGAAGACCTACTGAAAATTTCGGCCATCAATGAAGATATTGTAGCCAGTCAACTTGTTCGGCAGCGATTTCATGAAATTACAGGTTTTCTCTACATCTTCGTACTTCAATAGAGCAGTTGTAACTGTTGCGTTTGTAATATGTATTTCTTTTGATTTGATTTTTTTTAGGCATGTGAAAATATAAAATATAATTTGGTATAGTAGTTTGTAATAGAAACAGTTCGACTGGAAACCGAGGATTCTTCTTACGTTACAGAGTCCAACGTGTGTCATCGAATTGTAAGCTGTATCTGCATTAATTAGATTCTTGTAAATCAAGTGCCTATTGTGTTAACGTTTGTCTTACTTGCGATACGACTGAAGTGCGTGCAACAAGACAAATTAAAAATATCACTTTGTGAGGCGCGATAATGTAGCCCAGAATATGAATGGCAAGTCTCCTCACAAATCCCATACGGTATCTTCCTGATGAAGTTGATCATACAGGAACCAATTCGAAATCGGATGCCTCTCCGAATGAGACGCAGAAAAGTATCCAGAGAGACATCAATGGAGACTGTCCCGTTTGCTACGAAGCAATGGCTGGCGATGACAACAAACCTGTAGAACCGATTATCTTTTGCAAGTCCTGTGGCAATAACGTGCATCGTGACTGCTTCGATAGATGGAGCGGTAGCAAACGGAGCACGGGAGGCAGAGTAACCTGCATATATTGCAGAGCCGACTGGCTTGATATCGGAAGTAAGAATAGCCAGAATGTGGGCATTGATCGTGGTGGTTATGTAAACCTGGCCTCGTACTCTGAGGGCCATGTTAATCAAGACACAAGCCTGGAATCATTGTATCCTAACAGCTTGGAATGGTTGGATTCTCACAACAGGTGACATTCCAGAAAAGGTTGCCTTTTACCTTGTGGGGTTGTTCCAACTGTAAGTCTCTGTTCGAATCCTTTTCGGCGTTATGAGAAGTGGACAAGTTTACACACAGTTCTGCCTGGAAGTTGATTGATTGGTGGGGGTTACTGGCGTGTGACTTGTGACGTTAAATTTCCCGGCATTATTGGTGGTGTAAAAAGTCACATTAGTGGTGTTGTAAAAAGACTGGATAAACAATTTTTTGTACTGGTTATTAGAAGTAGTAGTTTTATATTAGTCGAGTTTGGAACCACTTGTCAAAAAATAAATGGATGTAGTTATGAACAAATAAACTGAATGGAATAAAACACAATTGTTACAAGTAAATAAGATCGAACATGTTCTTAAATTCCAGATCTTTTATTTTATTTTTTATTTTATTTTTTCTAGTTTATAGGAAGGTTTTGAGAGAACATAGGAAAAGTGAATCAATTTTCTATTAAAAGAATTGGCCTTTGATTAATATAAAAAAAGGGTAAAACGAAAAAATAAACGACAAAATTTAAGTCATGTTTTTCAATTTGTTAGTGCAAATTCAGAGTACAACGTATAATTTTACAATAATTTACATTAATTTATTTTTTGACTAGCATAGAATATATATATATATATATATATATATATATATAGATAGATAGATAAGTGTGTGTGTAAATTGCACGTTGTGCATATTTCAATATAACTTGATTAATTTCAAAATAATACAAAACGATTCAAAATTTGTAACACAATACAGCTTGATTTTTTATTTTTTATTTTTTGGGGTGGTATATGGATATAAATAAGAGTCTTCATTTAAGCCTCTTCATGTTAAATTTTTGTATTTAAGAATCAATAATAGCCTGATTTAGCTGTAATAACACTTGAGTAATATTTCCAAGAAATAGGCAAATAACCTGTAAATCTTAAAAGTACTTTAGTATAAATATAAAAACTGTAGAAGATTTATATATGTGTATACTTATATATATATATACTTTAGTATATATATATATACTTTAGTGTATATGTATATACTTTAGTGTATATATATACTTTAGTATATATGTATATACTTTAGTATATAATAATATACTAAAGTATATATGTATATACTTTAGTATATAATAATATACTAAAGTATATACATATATAAATATAAAAACTGTAGAAGATTGATTCTAGAAATAAGTAGCTATAAAAATTGGTTAAACTAAAAAATAATAATTCATACTTACCCTGGTTCCATTTATTTCGAGAATATTTTTCATCCACATTTTTTCCGTTCAGGCAACCCCTTCATGCCGCATATTAGGGGGCAACGGTCGGCGGAATATTCTTTATAATCCAACAATCATCCTCAAATCATCCACGCAAATCACGCGTCGAACATTCCAGACGCCGATGTCCACATCGACGTTCCCGAACCCAAAATCCGTTCCCGATTTCAAAAAGTCGTTCCCGCCTTCAACCACTCCGCAAGCGCCATTTTAGCATCCTGATAGACTTCGTGGGGGGAGCAACGAACGAACGAGTCATTGCGTTCGTCCGACTGGGATTATCGTCGGACAGAATCCCGTCAGCTCGGCCTCACGTTGACGTATCGGCCACCGTCTGTTGCAGAATCGCCGCATCCGGCACCTTTCGTTCCGGCCAATACGTGCCGTGCACAATTTCCATCCACGCCTCACAAAGGATTGTTTCGCAACCGCGTAAGGCCCTTTTTTTAGGGGTGAGATTTCTGGCGGAAAAGATGGAGAGCGGAGTGTCTTTCCATCCACGACTTGGATGGAGGAGGCTATAAACATGCTCAGTTCCAAAGAGCACTTCTTTGAGAGGGTGGTGAGGTCTCGCTCTCCTCCGTGTCTGTTCACTCGACGGTAGGCCGTTCCTCCGGCGGAGTTTCGTGAAGGAGCTGTTGCGCAAGCAGCGGTGACTTGTTTCTGTTGTTCTTCTCGTCGTTTTTTTTATATTTTGTTACTGGGCTGTTATTTTTGTTGTTAACCATCGTTCCGTTCTTGTTTTCGTATTTTTTTTTATTTGTGAGTCTTGAAGATTTCGTGGATTAGGGTTTGAAGTGATTTGGTGTAGATGGAGATATAGTGGTGTGGCGTTCTGCAGGGGCAGACAGGGGCAAGTGCTTTGGGTGTCCACGTTTCGTTGTGGGTAGTGCTCGCAGGAGGTTCTTTTTGCAAGTTTACGAAGATGCCGGGCCTTGTGACCATGAAACCCGTGTTGAAGTCTAGGGGCTCTGCCTCCAAGGCCTTGTCTAGGGCCAAGGAGGAGAGAGGCCTGGGGGCTCTGCTTTCTCAGATTCGTGTCTCTCCTGCGAAGAAGGGCCGCTGGTCAGTTGATCCAGAAGCTTTAGGTGTTCTTACTAGGTCGAATCTCGCGATGAAGCTGAGGATGAAGCTGCTTGGAGAAGGAGCAGAAGGGGAGACTGTTAACGAGGAGGTTGATACTTCTGGAGGCAAGCACGAGCCGAGCTCTGTGTGCCTAGCGGCAATGGTGGACGAGTTTTTGGAAGACGATGATTTCGAGGGTAGCCGTGGTCGTTGTCGTTTGAGCTTTGACGATGAGCCTAGAAATAACGACGACGATTCAAGGTCATCCCTTGTAGACGAACTCATTGCCGTACTCCACAGCAGCGCTGACAACATACCGGAGAGGATTGTTTTTTGTGAGGTCAGCAACTTCATCTCCATCACTAAGCCTGGATTGAATTCCGGTGATGGTGTGATGAGTTCTCTCAAGCGTCAGGTTATGAGGTACTTGCGTCGTGCCGGTTACAATGCTGGTCTCTGTAAGTCCAGATGGGATCACTCAGGGGGGTTTCCGGGTGGCGACTACGAATACATTGACGTCGTATTCGAAAGTCCAACCGGACGATTCGAGCGGATTTTGATCGACATTGACCTAAGAGCCCAGTTTGAGATTGCCCGTCCAACTGCCCAGTACGACAGCCTTGTGCAAGCTTTACCATCCATTTTCGTCGGCAGGGCCGAACAGCTTCATTGGATTGTTAACGTTATGTCTGATGCCGTCAAGCTGTCGTTGAAGAAACGTGGAATGCATTTACCACCATGGAGGAGGCCTGAGTACATGCGAGCCAAGTGGTTCTCTTCTTACAATCGGACTACGAGTGACATCTGGGATAAGCCCACCGAGAGTGAGTTGCCACATGGTTCTGTTGCCTCTGCGAGTGGATATGGATGCCATAATACGGACTTGGTGGCAAGAGTCGCGGAGTTCCCGAGGCCAGTGGAGAAACCTGTTGGGGAAGTAACGAACACAACCGAGAACAGGTTTGACGCTGGTGGGGAGACCCAGAAGACTGCCGGTTCTGTTGATAACAACGACTGGAATCCTCCAGTGTTGAAAGCAAAGAAACTTCAGGCTCCTGGGCTTGCGTCGATGTTCAGGGAGGGCAGTCTTTCGGCCTCAATGAAGAACATGAGGGCCTCAGAACGGAAGGATCTGGTGATGGTGGCATAAGAAGTAGATTTGCTCCATCTTCGAAGACTATCAATTTTGAAAGCACACTTATTCTTTTTTCATTTGTACAATACACCTTCGTGCTTGATGTGCGGTGCCGGTTTACACATCCCCATCGAAGGTGATACATTTTGATGAAGGCTACGCTGTTGAGTTATAGTTTGTGCGAGATATTTAGAATATTGAGAAAAAAACATATATATACAGAAAAAACGTCGGCAATTCATGGGATGGTAGCCCTACTGCCCAGTTAGGGCCGTCCCGCCAAAGAAAGAGTTTAGAGTTGTGTTCCTTTTTTGTTGAGTTTGTGGAACTATTAATTCCACTAGAGTTTTGTGAGTGTTACATTTTTGTAGTGTGGGCGGTGTACAGAGTATGGTTGGACACGTTGAATTTGCCTTAAGAAGCGGGTCGAAGAAGCAGGGCTCGAGTTACGCAGGTTACTGAGTCGGGAGTTTAGTTGGGCTTTGAAGCTGCTTGATATGCAGTGCTGATTATTGAGATTGGAAAAAATTTCAAAACAATATAAGTTATGGGAGAATAAAGCAGTCAATGCTATATGTTGTTTTTGTGCATCGTGATATGTTGTGTTTACAGCTGGTGTCTTTCTTTTCACGCTCTTCTAAGCGTCAATTTGGTTTTGTTGGGGGGAGCAGTTATTTCATCACGTGCATTATATGCTCCGATTTTCTTTGTACTGACTCTGACTATCAGCCACTACTTGAGTGGCAAATGTGCAGTTGGTGCGTCGATACGATTTTACCGAATGAAAGGAAATTTTCAAGTGCTATCACTTGAATGAGCGTCAACCTCTCCGAAATGCAGAAATAACATTATCCACACTTCGGATGTGTTGCGATGGATGAACGAGCGGAGCAGCGCTCATTTTTTCCGGAAACCAAGTTCCACCACCATATATAAGTCCACAAAGAGCAATAGAAATTTGTCTTCCTACAGAGACACAACTTCAGATGGAGTGAAAAAAGGTAAATAGAAGTGTTTCTCATATCAAGGAATAGACAAGCCTCAAGCATTGAGCGAGATTGTAAGACACACTTTCGCTTCCTTTCCGTCTCGTGCAGGGCACGTAATCTGTATGGTGGAATCGATTAATGAACAACAATAATAAATACAGCTTCTGAAAGTTGAGACTCAATTCGAGTGTCGAAAGCTTCCCACTGAACACCACCAGATTATCGCTTAATAGTGAATATCCATCAGGATAGAAGTGAAACGAAAGCTCATTTCTTCTCAACCCTGAGAGTCGAACTTCCTTCTCTCCAGCGCCATGCTGACCACTGAGAAAACGTGAAAATTAAACCACACAAGGAAAAAACAACAACAAACGAAGCAAAAGTGAGGAAAAGAAAAGAAAATGCGATAAAATACAAGACCCTCTTCCACTGCTTTGTATCCCGAATGTGGAGTCTGCTGCTGCTGCTAAATGCACATTAAAAAAAAGACTGAAATGTAGATGAGAAAATATGACTGAATATATATATATGTATATATATATATATATTTATGTGGGTGTGTGTTAATATTGAACCTGGCATATCCTTCATAGATTCCAAAAGTTAGGCGCACTTGAAGAATTAGCATAACTCTCACCCTGAGAGCCTAACAAATCACTTCGCTTGCATGTCTCCTTTTCAATGCATTAAAATTCACTGGCATGAGCAGTACCCACCAACCGGATACCTCACTGGTTGTGAGCGCTGAGGCGCCGCATTGCCTCTCCATAAACGCCGTTCCATTGCTACCATATCTTCTCTTTTCCGAAGCCACAAACTGGTGCGCTTCTGTATTTTTCTTACTAAAATCTTCTATAATCACACACTTCCACATCCGGCACTAATCTGGGCTGCTCTGAGACTCTGCTTATCGTGCCTGTAAGCATGCTTTTTGCTCTTGGCTTGAGCCACAATTTGTGGGTCTGCTTACTTGGGCCCCTTCTCTTATTCACTTTTCTTCACAACTCTCGACTGCGTCTCAGTTAGTTGTATCAAGACAATTCCTCATGCTGTCTGTGTTAAACGGCTTCAGTGCGATGACTCCACTCACGCAGAGTAGTTTGAACATCGTTTTGAACTCTGTGCGTTCGGTGTCTGATCGTGCATGCACGACTGCCGCTGTAGCCAGCCGTCGAACTTATCCTTAATCCAACAGTGTGCTCGTGGGAATACCAACATCTGCTTCGAACCAGAAGTTGTTGCCAACTTGAGTTTCCGATCAAACTGACCACAGTCCTCTAGGACGTGCAGCGCTTCGGTGCCAAGCTCTGCGAGCGGGACCTTCTTGGTGCAGAGCAAAGCCTGCTGGATGCTGGTTGAGCAGATGGGGTTGAATCCTAAGGTGGTTGTGAATGACTCTTCGAAGTAGAGCATTGAGGTGTTTGCTGAATCATGCCGCAGGAATGACACTGCGCCAACTCAGGCTTCGAAGTTGCTCATGATCATGTTGACGGATAGAGAGCTGTAGAAACCATCGCGGCTCATTTGATAGACTAATAATGAGTTCTTGCGATATTTTCATTTCACTTTGGGTTAGCTTGGCATTCACGTCGGAATAGAGCACTGCGAATTTGCAACACCGCCGTCACAGAAATGTTGATTGATTCTCCATTTCATAGAGTCAAATATCAGTGCCGAATCGCATGTTATATTGACCTTTAGTTCCAGCTTCACCCACTTTACGATGACGATAATACAAGGTTTACAGTCTTCAGCTAGCTGCATGATGGCCAGTTGTTACGGAGGTGAGTAAGTTCAAAACAAAGCGATCTAGATTTGTAAACTCTCTTCCAAGTCATTTCACCACCGTTAAAGTTAGGACTCAATCCTATTGAAGTGCGATATTATTGCAGAAGTTTCTAGTCTGCAGTTGCATTCATCGGGGATCTCGCCTGACATCCACGAATCGATGGATGCAGGCGCTTTAGAGTTGTGAAATGACTGGGAGTAGATCCGTCGACTTGTTATCCTTTACGTGGCCTTGAACGTGGTCGACATGAGAAACCAACCATCGTTAGATTCACGTAGAGAGACACCTCCACCGCGGACTTAAAACTCTTCATATGCCTCTAAACTTCCCAAGTTCATCAGCGTTGTTAGAAACAGCATTTGTTCGCAGTTTGCTCTGGGAAGTATACGCTTAGAAGCAAACCACTACGAAACACGGTGGTATATCCTTACCGACGTAGAGAAACCAAATAATGTCGCAAGGGTCACACTCATTCTTCCATGCAGTTACTGTCACTCTCGCCTGCAGGTCATAAATTCGAAGGTGCCGCAGAATATAACCAATTCTGGAGACTGTGATAGGTCTGCGGTTCTAAACCAACCAAACTCTGGTTCTCAACAGAATATCCGTTCATGTCAAGGACCAAACTGTTGTGCAAGACTATCATGTCACACTGACCGTATTGCGATAAGTTGGTGTCTCATCCAGTTTTTCTGAAGAACAAAATATACTTGCCCTGTGGGTACCTGATGACAACAGTTCGTCGCTGACTAGATAAAAGTCACGAAGTCTGCAATCTTTTGTACAAAACCACGTTGAAGAGGACGATGGGTTTTGTAGACATGATCCATTACAAGGCCTTGAACTTGCTGTAATGTTCAGAACTTTAACAAGTTGTCTCAAAGGCGATGGATTTGGTTCAGAGTATGTAGAATAGACGGCTGTTACCGACGAGGTTTTTATTTTTATTTTTTCTGTAGTTTTGGCATCTAGGCAATGTTACTCCAGAAAACTAATGCAATCGAGGGGTTGTAATGAAGTCGTTTCTTTTCTGCTCGATGAGCGTTGCGTAATTCGATCGAATCGACAAGCGTGCAGTCCTTATGTATGGGCCTGTTGCAACAGAAGAGAAAGCTTCCAAATCTACTGCAGCTCACTTGTTGAACTATAAGCTTTGTTCACAAAACCCTAAGAACTAGACCCCCTCGCAGAACGACCACCACATCAGTGATCCAGTGGTGCACTTTCAAATGATCTAGTATATTCATGAATCGTTTGAACGCTTGGAATGTTTAGACGCTTCAACCCCGACTTCAGGTGACCTTTTGCATGACTTCACAAGGTGAGACTTCCACCAGCGTCGATCTCATATATCTATCTACCGTCTCACCTTTCCACAACCTGAAACGCACATAGAAAGCTTTGCATTCTACATAACTGATCAGTCACCAAAACATGAAGTTCAGTGTTTGAGATCAGGCACAGATCCGATGCTTCAACCATCTAGAACCTCAAAAAAACTCGTGAACCCCACGTTTGCGTTGCCATGTGGGTTGCGACCAAGGCGCTAGAAACTGGGTTTGGAGGCAAGTTGCAAGGATCTGAGACTTCACACCATACCCCCAACTGTTGGAAAACCTCGGAATGTGTGCAACTTGCTGAACTGACAACAGCTGTAAAATAAAAAATCCAAGCAGAAGAAGAAAAAGAATAAACCACAGTTTGGGTGCATGTGATATGAGGGTAGAGAGTTGCCGAAGACCATGCAAAAGAATAGAAAAGGGGGTGTGGATATTTGTTTATTTGGATATTTGACTAGTCCTCATGCAATGCAACGAAGACTATGACAGTTGAACTGTTTTATTTTTCTGTCACTGACACTGCAGGAGGGCATGGGAGTTAGTGAGTTGTAGAGGGCTGTGATTTTGAATACTTCTACTATTATTATTATTATTATTATTTTTCTCTACCATGCACCCAGCATCTGATTCATCACCCCCTGCTTCTTCTGCTTCTTCTTCTGCTACTTCTACAGTCTTGAAGTTTGGGTTGTTTTTATTGTTTGTTTGTTTAGTTGGGTGTTCTGATGCCTCTTGTAAGGGATGTAGATTCTATGGATTTGAATTATGTGTGTGTGTGAGTGTATATATATATATATATATATATCTCTAGGGGAGGTGTGCATTTATGTAGCTGTGGTTGCTGAAATGAATTGGATTTTTTTTGTGAATCAGGTAAACATGAACTTATGTGGGTGCTTTTTATTTTTACTTGACAGTTTTGCAATGAGATAAATATAGAACCTACTGAGTTATGATTAAAAATAAAATAAAAATAAATAAAACTTAAAAACTTAAAATTTTATCCTTCATTTGCAATTTTACATTTGTTTTGGGGATTTTTTAAAAACATTATTTCAATCTTGTTCAATCCTTTTCAATTAAACTAACTTAACAATAATAAATATAATTATAAAACTTAAATTAGTCTTTTATAACATACAATCAAAGACCATCTTATCAAGTCTTGAAATATAACCGACAAAACTATAAATTACAAAAGATTCTTTTACTTCAAGCCTCTATGAATATCCTCATGTCTAACTATAATTTTTTGAAAATCATTTTAACCTAATTACATCATGTCCTTAACAAAGAATTTAAATTTTATGAATTAGAATTTATTCTTTATAAATTTCAACATTTTTATTGAATTTAACTTTACTTGACACCAAAAATTTGAATAAAAGTATATTTTATTTAAAAACGCTCAAATTAAATTTCATCAAAGTAGTTAACAATTTAAGAAATCATCTAATTTTTGTTACATACAT